TTTTTTCTCCTCTCTTTCGCGTCCGTTTCCTCCCTTCGCTCCGACCTCGCTGCCACACGAGCCTCTCTCTCTTCTCCCTTGCTCTTTCGCGACCGTTGTTTTTCGACGGCTGTTGCCCACGAATTCTAGGCATCGTTCCTTTGTCACCGACGAACGGTCGCGACCACGCGCCGCGCGTCCCCGTACGTCCGTCGCGACGTCGTAGCTCGACGTCGTCGGGGACAACGCCGTTTCGGAATGTCAACGCGTTAATGGCGACCGCGGCGGCCCCCGCGACCACGCGCGCGGTCCAACCACCTTGTCGTCGTGTCTCTCGCCTATCGATCCTTTCGGGCCCGTGTTTTTCTTCCGGCCGCGATCGCGTCCAAGAATCCCGGCAAAAACAGCCTTTCGTCGACTAACGCCCTTGCCTTTCTTCGCAGAACGCCGGCTATTTCGCGTATTCCGTGCCATTTTCGACAAAACTCGCGTCGAATCGAGATCGTTCGCCACTTCCGAGTATCCGTTCACTCCCCCCGTGCTCGATTCATCTTCCTCGCGCGTGTATGGGTCGTTGGCAATGTACACGCGCGATTAAAAATCGCCGAGGAAAACTATGGCGATAGCGATAGCGAGAGAGAGAGAGAGAGAGAGAGAGAGAGAGAGAGAGAGAGAGAGAGAGAGAGAGAGAGAGAGAGGAGAGGAGGAGAGCGGCGTAAAAAATGCTCACGGCGAAAGAATGCAGTCCAATTTGCACGCGACTTCCTAAGAATCTGCCAGCGGATTCCTGGTCACCTAATTGCCATTTTACGCGCGGCCTTTTATCGTGAAAGCCCCGGCCACGAAAGCCCCGGTTGGTGCCACCTCTCAAAGGCGTTGCCAAGGCACTTTGTATTCCGCAAAGAGCGCCGCCACGGAACACGCGTTGTTTAGCAAATTGTCGCCACCGCGGTGCTTAATCAGCAGAAGATCGCACCTGCAAGCCCGAACACACCAGCTACTTGATAGTCCCTCGGGAACGGTTTGATCTCGTGACGCTGGCGGCGCACGTGGGTCGAGATAGCGCATGTTCCAACATTCCTTCGGAAATGCGTTCCAAATCGTTGGCATCGTGTTGTTAACGCGTTTCTAATCGGCTCACGGACACCTTGGGAAACCGAACGTTTTTTACGAGACCGGAATGAGAATCCCGCTCACGAGAGATTTAAAACTGTCGCATTCGCGGGGGACGAAAATAGAATGCGGATGGTGGAACGGAGTATAGGGTACGCTCGGTTCTCGGCAGAGTCGATAGAGCAAAGAGTACAACGTAAGATACTGGAAACGGAGGGAAACCGTAATTACGTTTGCATCCGTGTTGCTCTTGCTCGACCCAAGTGTGTCGCGAAGGTATTAATTTTCCGTCGCAGGCGAACGGAGATCGTGTTTTTCGCTCGTTTTATCGCGTACCATTTCCATCGACCCGTTACCAACCGATGCTAAAAGGTTTACAAGCGGAAAAAGCTCGCGATGACCGAACGTACGCGAGCGTGTACTTTGTTTCTCGCGCGACGTAATAATCGTAGATTACGCTCGAGGACGAGGACGCGTACGCGCGGTTAATCGAGTCTCGTGGCAACGGGGGGAGGAGGAAGAGGAGGAGGAGGAGGAGGAGGAGGAGGACTTCCACGGCTGGGTAATTAGGAAAATAAATATTTAGCGTTTTCGATAAGTCGGTGTACACGCCCCTAAATGACGGAGCGTTTGGCAAGCATCCTATAGCTATTTACCGAAAGAAATCGTTAGCGCCTGGTTTCCGGTCAATTATTCGAAACGGCGTATCCCTGCGCTTCCGACGATTACGCCTAAAGAAACTAATGACCAAGTGGTAAGAACAATAGAACCAGTCAGCGAGCCAAGAGCCTCTGCCCACCGACCGTCTCTACTCGCTCTTTCTCTCTTTACTCTGCCGCGGGACCGTACGCGTATACGGCGGGTATATATACGTAAAGAGGCAAGAAAGAGAAAAAAGGCGGAAAGAAGAAGCAGAAGAGGAGGAAATGAAAAAAGAGGAAAGGAAAAACAGAGAGAAATAATCAGACTGGGAGCGTCCATTGACGGATTGTCCACGGTTCCGTGCTCCTGTTCCGAAAGATCGACCGCGACAGCGGTTCATTCACGAGCCGCGTGTTTGTAGTCGGATTTCGGGCGAAACTGCTTTCGCGCCCATTTTTGTTGGAGGTAAGCGTACGAGGGTTCGTCGAGACACGCTCGTTGTCGGAAATAACGACATAATGACATGGTAGAAGATGAGTGCCCGAGGTAGGTAAATCCGAGACAAGGTACGGGCCAAGGGTGCGAGCAGGACGGAGAAATGGGAAAGAGAAACCAGACTGGGTGCCCCGGTCGGTGTGTTCTGGTAGGGATATAGCCGGTAAGAAAGAAGAAAGAGAGAAAGACGAAGAGCAAGAGGGGCTGGTGGGGTGTGCACCGCCTGCGAGTCGGAAGCGTTGCTGACCATCGGCTGGGTAGGCCGGTGGTTCATCGAGTTCCGAGCAGTCGAAGAGAGCTCGATAGGCACTCTTCGAGTTCTTCGCTACGTCACGCAACCCTTTATCGGCGACTCGGTCTAATTTTATTTACGGCTCATTACCAGCGGTGCCCCGCGCCAACGATCGGGCGTGATTCCATTAGAAAATTCACGGAAAGTGCATCGCGGGCTGCCGACGTCGCTCGCGTTTTGCGGAACCGATGCGGCCAAGGCACGAACGAGTTTCCGGTTAATTATCCGAGGTAGCTGGAAACGCCGCGCGATATCGACACCGTCTCCGATACCTACACTCTGCCGGTAGTATATAGCCCGATGCGCATTTTTACGATTCCCCCCTTTTTATTTTTATTTTTCCTCTTTTCCAAAAAATTCCATCGGATTATCTTATCTCGCAAGCCTTGCCGCGACGCGCGTAAAAATACACGCGCGACTCTAACCGAAACGCTCGTACGTCACGCATTAACGAGCGCGATGCTCGGAAAGAAAGAGGAAAAACCGTACTCGACGACCGAAAGAAGAAGAACCATTTCTCCCGTCACTTCGTCACCCTTTCCAGACGACCGTCGACGTTAAGCATGATCGATACGAGGCGAATTGCGGAAAATTAATGCTGGTCTCGCGGCGGCGGCGGCGGCGGTGGTTCACCGAGCGTGAAGAATCGACGAGGAGGAAGAACGAGTTCGCGAAGGATCCCTACTACGCTACCGGTCTCGCGAGCGAACGCGACAGCGTCGAAACGCGCGCCTGCTCGCGCGCGCGGACGAGAGAAAGAGAGGCGAAACGCGACATGCACGGGATCAACGACGGTGAACACGGCACGCTCTCTTTAACACCGAATCGGCCCAATTTTGCCCACTATTTAGCGACGCCATGCTTCACCGCAGTCAAATTAGCCGTCTGTCCAAGCACGCCAGTGCGTGCTCATACGCGCGTACACACCGACACGGAACCGCGAATCCATTCGGCGCGACAATGCTATTCGCTCGCGTGTACACGTGAATCTGCAAATTTCATTCATCTCGACGGCCGCGGCAGGGGTACGAGGGGGTGGAGCAGAGGGCAGGCTCTCTCGATTTTAGCCGGCTTTTTTAACCCGTCCTCGACACACACGCCAGCATCCGCACCTATACCGCGTGTCTCGTTTTCCCCTTTTCCGATTTCACGCCGATCCTCGTTAAATCGCTATTGTCACGTACTTTCGATGTAAATCATTCGCGAAACAAGTTCTCTCGATCACCGCCGATCTCCCGTGTCCGATAAACCGAGTCAAGTACGACGCGCAAAAGTCTGCGAACGGCTACATTTTCCTAGTACCCCGACGAGGCAATTTACCGCTCCCCCGGAAAAAAAGGGTATAAAAAGGGACACCCTCGTTTTTATTGATAAAAAAAAAAAAAAAAAAAAAAAAGAAAGAAAAACGCGCGCATACGCGTATATGATAATAAATATGTATTTTCGTTTGCATCGCGCGCGCGTAATCTCCTCCTCGGCCGTCGAGCAGCGCCGTTCCAGCCGAGTAAAACGTTCCCCGTCTTTTTTCTTTTACGATACAATAAAGACGTTTACAACCGAACGACACCCACGTAACATCCCCGGGTTCGTAAAATCCGAGTCCGTTCCGCGTAATCCGTCTTGCAGCTCGTAATTCGATATTCGTTAAAATTCCTGCGATCCTCGCTGGCGGAAGAAAAATCTTTCCAATCGAATAGCTCCGCGCGCTAGCGCGCCAACGCGCGTAGCGCCGAGTTGACGCACACGCGGCTTTAACGCGGAACGAATTCCATTCGCATAATCGTTAATGCGGCTAATTGCGCGCCGCTGCTGCCACGCGATGCCCCTTTAACTTTCCCTCGGATACACGCCACTGTACGCGAGTCCTCTTCGGACCACGGACTCGACGACGAGAGAGAAAAAGGAACGGGTGGAAAAATGGGGAGAAAAATGCGAGCGGTCGGCGATTAATCGTTTTAAAGGCGTCGCGGAAAGAGAAACAATTCTAAGCGCCGTTTCCAACGGCACTTTATCATCGGACCTGAGCGTACGCGCGAACGTTCGCTCGTAAATAAATCGTGAATCCAATTTGTGGCCGCCATAAATCAATACGGGAATCAGGATTCTCAAAGGGCACGGAGAACGCCTCGAACTTGCAGTCTGACGAACGAAACACCGGCGACACGTTCCTGTAACCGCGAACATAACCACCCTTCCTCCTTCGATACCCTTTGGGGTACGCAGAGATTCGAATATGGCGGAATTCGCGGTATTTTTCCACGCGTACGCGATTCCACGCCGAGAGAGGTTTCGAGAACCGTCGATTTTGATAACGGCCGATGATGGAGGCTCGGACGAATCTCTAGGGACACCCCGAAGGGAAAGTCCCGGGGACTTTCGAAACTGCGGTCGTGCCCCGTACGGACCGCCGCTTCGTCCTTGAGCTCTTTTCTCGAACAGGTAAAACGATACGGGAAACAATAAAATGATAAACACTCACCATAGACACAGGAATGGGTCCTGCGGCGCCATTGGGGTAGGGGTACGGCGAGACGAGGTAGCCCATGTTGAACGACGAGGTATGTGGCGTCGGATCCACCTTACCTGTTTCACAAATCGAGAAAAAAGGTTAACAGGTGAGCGCGTCAGGTTTTTAACATTAAGAATTAACGAAGAGCGGAGCCTGTTAAGAGGGGACGACGTTGTTAAACGTTTTCGACGTAAAATTATCTAATCTCTTTCTGCATCTATCCGCGAATAAAATATATAGATCGCGTGGATGGACGATTATGCAAATATCAATTGCGTTTGTATCGTATTTAAATCTTGAGCGAAATTCTATATAGTTATCGGCGGATTTTTCTTTGCCACGGATACGTTTTTACGTGGAAAGAGATAAGAAGGCTACGTAGAATTTATTATTCCCGGTTATCTTTTAACAACGAAATTCCGTCGCGGCAACCAGTTTGGAATAAACGAAAAAGCAGCAGGTGCGAAAGGCTCGGAGCCGCACGCCGGGTCTCTCACACCGCTGGCAACCGTGAAAGATTCAACGAGCCTTTTCACCCATCGACGTTTATCTTTTCACGCTTATCCAGCGTAAACAGTCCACGAATAATTATATCCGACGATCCCCCCTGGTGGCAATTAAACGGCGGCTAGCCCCGCACGCAACGAGCGTACGTAGTACGCGATTCGAACGATTTCTGCGGCCCTCGCGCGACCGGCACCATCTTCCACGCAACTACGTCTACGTTAAACCAGTTTCGTTTAATGGATTTAATTCGCGCGCACCTACTAAAGCCTCCTCTCTCCTCGAGAACTCGTTCGAGGGACACCGAAACGATAGGAATCGCGACATGCGTCCCTGCACCGCGCTCGTCCCTAGTATAGGGCACCCACCATCCGCTTCTCCTCTACTCTCCGGGGCCCTTTAAGCACAGTTGTTCGGAATGGAGGCCGATACCGGAGAAACCTTTCGAGTTTATCCGTTCCGCGAAACTGGATCGCGGCGAGCAACAAGAATCCGCCACGAAGGACTCCCGCCAAGTGATACCGATCATCTCCGTCCGAGCTGCCGGCAACGGGGCCTCTGCGCGCCTCTGTCCCGATCCGCTCAAGGCGGATCCTGTCCGCTCGAGAGGCCGGCACGGACTCTCTTCTCGGTCCCCGTTCCGCGAAACTCGATCGTTTCGAGAGGTAGAAACCTGCTTTCAGGATTCGAACTGATAACTATCGTCTCACTCTCGTCTCGATCTGGCCGCGGTCGCACGGCTACCCCGGAGTTAGGATCCGCCGAGGCTCTGCCTCGGGTCTAGATGCTATCAGGGGCAGCGACGAGTATCTTTAGGTGATCGGCAACGCCATTATTTTATGGAGAGAAAGTATCACCCGTCGGTGGTTAGGGCCACGCGGTAGCGACTGCTATTAACTCGGCCACAGATAGATCGCCAACGCTCCGCCATAACGCTCCCCGATGGGAGCGCGGGCAGCCATCAGGGGCGAAAAATCCTTGGTACCGCGAGGAGAGCCATGCGGCAAGGGTAACAGCGAAATGCTCGCAGCCGATCTCGCCACAACCCGAGCATTATCCTTCCGCGACACCTGATCCGCGATCGCGTAAAAGGAGCATAACGCGGAGTTTGCCAGGCTGTAATTGGAGGTGCGAGAAAAAGAAGAAACCGGGGAAAGGAAGCGACGTTGAGGAAGACAATGGTATCAGATCCGAGCGACTGCTACGGGGACGATTTACGAGAACGATATTTCGTATCTCTATCTAGCGACGAGCGTGGAGCAGTGGCCAGAAGCTGCATCGGGCCGCATCGAGCCGTATCGAGCCGCGTCGCGCCGCTGGCTACATCGGCTAGATTAGCCGCGAATCGGAAATTCCAGCGAGACGAGCGTCCCCCGAAGCCGATTTCTCATGGACGACCGCGAAAATGGGTCGTAACGGGCGTCGCGACAATCCGCAACGAGAGCAACGCGACCGGACCGGCTAGCGGTAAACGGCGATAAATCAGTCGCGCGGTCGAGAGCCGCGCGGGTTAATTAATACTTCGGCAAAGAGCGGTCGCAGCAGTCGCGTGAAACGCGCTGCGAGACTCGCGTCGACCATGAAAGAGTTAATTCTTCGTTCGAGGCTGACCCGCGGAGAGATGATCTCGATCGTCCCCCGAGCACGCGGGACCGTTGACCTTTTCCAGGCAACGCGAGACCACGCTCCGCGCGGCACGCCGCGGCGCGCAGCGATCCGCCCGAACTTATTAAACCGTTCGGTCGACGTGGAGAGATGGACTCGTGGTCCGTGACTCGAATCCCAATTCGTATCTAAGAATCGTCGTCGTGGAACGAATAGGTACGGTCTCGCTATCCACGTAGAGGCTGTTTCAAAAGCGAGCTTCGCAACGCGGGCCAAGATTTTTCACGCGTTAACCCTCTGCGGTCGATGTCCCCGTAGCGGAGATCGACAATTCGAAAAATACGGGAAATTACAGAAATTATATTACAAGTAGCATTAACCCTTTGTTATCGAAATCAAACAATTCTACGACTCTATTATTACACAATTCCTTGTTTACTGCTAAAAGAGTATCGTCAGTTTTTAGTAGAGAATCTTTAAATTTCTACTCTGCTCTAGCCAAGAAATCGTCGTCGAGTGCAAAGGGTTAAGACTGTTAATATAATATATAATTGTTTTCAAATTAAACTCTCGAACTTGCAGTCTGACGAACGAAACACCGGCGACACGTTCCTGTAACCGCGAACATAACCACCCTTCCTCCTTCGATACCCTTTGGGGTACGCAGAGATTCGAATATGGCGGAATTCGCGGTATTTTTCCACGCGTACGCGATTCCACGCCGAGAGAGGTTTCGAGAACCGTCGATTTTGATAACGGCCGATGATGGAGGCTCGGACGAATCTCTAGGGACACCCCGAAGGGAAAGTCCCGGGGACTTTCGAAACTGCGGTCGTGCCCCGTACGGACCGCCGCTTCGTCCTTGAGCTCTTTTCTCGAACAGGTAAAACGATACGGGAAACAATAAAATGATAAACACTCACCATAGACACAGGAATGGGTCCTGCGGCGCCATTGGGGTAGGGGTACGGCGAGACGAGGTAGCCCATGTTGAACGACGAGGTATGTGGCGTCGGATCCACCTTACCTGTTTCACAAATCGAGAAAAAAGGTTAACAGGTGAGCGCGTCAGGTTTTTAACATTAAGAATTAACGAAGAGCGGAGCCTGTTAAGAGGGGACGACGTTGTTAAACGTTTTCGACGTAAAATTATCTAATCTCTTTCTGCATCTATCCGCGAATAAAATATATAGATCGCGTGGATGGACGATTATGCAAATATCAATTGCGTTTGTATCGTATTTAAATCTTGAGCGAAATTCTATATAGTTATCGGCGGATTTTTCTTTGCCACGGATACGTTTTTACGTGGAAAGAGATAAGAAGGCTACGTAGAATTTATTATTCCCGGTTATCTTTTAACAACGAAATTCCGTCGCGGCAACCAGTTTGGAATAAACGAAAAAGCAGCAGGTGCGAAAGGCTCGGAGCCGCACGCCGGGTCTCTCACACCGCTGGCAACCGTGAAAGATTCAACGAGCCTTTTCACCCATCGACGTTTATCTTTTCACGCTTATCCAGCGTAAACAGTCCACGAATAATTATATCCGACGATCCCCCCTGGTGGCAATTAAACGGCGGCTAGCCCCGCACGCAACGAGCGTACGTAGTACGCGATTCGAACGATTTCTGCGGCCCTCGCGCGACCGGCACCATCTTCCACGCAACTACGTCTACGTTAAACCAGTTTCGTTTAATGGATTTAATTCGCGCGCACCTACTAAAGCCTCCTCTCTCCTCGAGAACTCGTTCGAGGGACACCGAAACGATAGGAATCGCGACATGCGTCCCTGCACCGCGCTCGTCCCTAGTATAGGGCACCCACCATCCGCTTCTCCTCTACTCTCCGGGGCCCTTTAAGCACAGTTGTTCGGAATGGAGGCCGATACCGGAGAAACCTTTCGAGTTTATCCGTTCCGCGAAACTGGATCGCGGCGAGCAACAAGAATCCGCCACGAAGGACTCCCGCCAAGTGATACCGATCATCTCCGTCCGAGCTGCCGGCAACGGGGCCTCTGCGCGCCTCTGTCCCGATCCGCTCAAGGCGGATCCTGTCCGCTCGAGAGGCCGGCACGGACTCTCTTCTCGGTCCCCGTTCCGCGAAACTCGATCGTTTCGAGAGGTAGAAACCTGCTTTCAGGATTCGAACTGATAACTATCGTCTCACTCTCGTCTCGATCTGGCCGCGGTCGCACGGCTACCCCGGAGTTAGGATCCGCCGAGGCTCTGCCTCGGGTCTAGATGCTATCAGGGGCAGCGACGAGTATCTTTAGGTGATCGGCAACGCCATTATTTTATGGAGAGAAAGTATCACCCGTCGGTGGTTAGGGCCACGCGGTAGCGACTGCTATTAACTCGGCCACAGATAGATCGCCAACGCTCCGCCATAACGCTCCCCGATGGGAGCGCGGGCAGCCATCAGGGGCGAAAAATCCTTGGTACCGCGAGGAGAGCCATGCGGCAAGGGTAACAGCGAAATGCTCGCAGCCGATCTCGCCACAACCCGAGCATTATCCTTCCGCGACACCTGATCCGCGATCGCGTAAAAGGAGCATAACGCGGAGTTTGCCAGGCTGTAATTGGAGGTGCGAGAAAAAGAAGAAACCGGGGAAAGGAAGCGACGTTGAGGAAGACAATGGTATCAGATCCGAGCGACTGCTACGGGGACGATTTACGAGAACGATATTTCGTATCTCTATCTAGCGACGAGCGTGGAGCAGTGGCCAGAAGCTGCATCGGGCCGCATCGAGCCGTATCGAGCCGCGTCGCGCCGCTGGCTACATCGGCTAGATTAGCCGCGAATCGGAAATTCCAGCGAGACGAGCGTCCCCCGAAGCCGATTTCTCATGGACGACCGCGAAAATGGGTCGTAACGGGCGTCGCGACAATCCGCAACGAGAGCAACGCGACCGGACCGGCTAGCGGTAAACGGCGATAAATCAGTCGCGCGGTCG